TGGCTGGGATGGGAATGGTGGAATGCTCCTGTCCACTGGCGAGTTTGTGCCTCACAAGAGTCATGAAACTTAGACAAATTTCTAAGTCCAAACCTAAAGCTTGGAGGGGAAGAGACACACTCCAGACATGTGGTATGTGCTAGTTTCCAACCTCTATATCTTGTTTATTACAGCCACATAAAACTACCAATGGAGTTATATTTCCAAATACACACACGCGCGAAAGATTTCTACTTGTCTACTGCTTCCTCGTGATTGCTAAATATACAGCAGGAGAAACAACAATCAAGATATTTAGTATACTAAGGGATCAACTGCAGAATGAAGCCAAAAATGAAACAGATGATTTCTTTAATTAATTGTGCCTGCAACCAATCAATCAGCGGTAAATCATTGGCCTTCAGGAAGCTTCATTTCAGCTCTCATGTGTCCAGTTCCTCTGTCCACATCCAAGGCAAAGCAAATGTTTCTGGCTCGTGCTAGACTCTGGCAGAGCTGCCGTTTGTCACTGATCCTGTTTGTCATGTTAAAGACCTCAATGTGTGATTATGGAACAACACATCATGTCTTCTGACGACATTTCAATTTAAACTCGACTGTGTTATTTTTCATGCCTCAATGATAAAGTGTGTTACTGTACACACAAAATAAACTGAACTAAATGCAGCAAGAAACATTAACATCAAACAGTTGACATATCAAGATGTTGTAATGTTGAAGTTTGTTGTGACTGGAGCAAATCAGCCATGGTGAAAAAAAAGGTTCAAATGATTTATTGAATAAACAATGATTTATGATTTTTTTTCTGTATCTGGTCAACGAGTTTCCAGGAGGACTGGAAAGGAGGAGATCTGATCCGAGTTGCAGCAGAAATAAGCTAATAGAAATATATTATAGGCTGGTGGATTATTACTTAAGAGTGTGGGGTGGCGACTGCAGTAGCGGTTAGTTCATAGGGGGCGCTGTGGCATCGTCCTCCCTGATGTGGATGGGGTTGGGTATCTACAAATGATCTATAAACATGTTATTTACACAGAATTTCCACCAACTGACTTTCACTCAATAAAATAATTCAACAGTCTGACAGAATCCCATCAGTTCTCATCTGAGATGCTACGGAATGAAGCAAAATAGACATTCATGTGTGGTTGCTACGGTAATAATAATAGCCATTTAGCCAATCAGTATCGTTTAATTTAATGTCTTTGAGCGCTCAGAATTTTGCCCTTGATATGCCAATATGTTTTGTGTCACTATGGTGAAAAAGTTCATATGGCGAATACTGCAGTCTAGGGAATGCTTGCACCAAATTCTCCTCCTTGAATGACAATGCAGAAGATTTTACAGATGGCTGGTGAGCTACAACTCATGTTCTTCAGCGTGTTTTATTAGCTTTAGCTTCCATATTGATCTGCTCTTTTCCGCTGCTTACTTTTTCTGTTCATCAGCTGGTATCAGTTCTTTGATGATTATGAGTTAAGAAAGTTGCTGTGGTTTATTTGATGCTTCTGTTGCTCTGGTTAGCATAATGCTAATGCTCATATGATAAATGTTGCTACGACTTCTGTGATTTTGCTGAGCGGCTTCTTCTTTCTTCAATTCCTTGGTTAGTTTTATGTTTGTAGCCGTGATAGTTTCCAGAGTGTTTCAGTTGTTTCTGGTGTCATTAGTTTATTCTCTTCAGTTTTAATAGAACATCGTCTGTTTAGAGTTATACATCTAGATCAGGGGTCACCAACTCCAGTCCTCAAGGGCTACCATCCTGCAACTTTTAGATTCACCTCTACTCCAAAATGTCTGCATTCCCTCACCAGCATTCATTCCTCTCTGCAATAGGCTGGAAACAAGCAGTTTATTTGATCCAGGTGTGTTTGAGCAGAGACGCATCTAAAAGTTACAGGATGGTAGCCCGCGAGGACTGGAGTTGGTGACCCCTGATCTAGATAATCATCAGTGGCGATAATAAGGCTATTTTAGAGGGACTGAAGCCTCCATAAAATATTCTCATACTCCCTTAAATAATTTGGTTGTTTTTCTCTCATTACTTTTTTTTTTTTTAAATCTGGCAACAAATTTAATGTAATGTCGCTAGAATATGAGATTAAATAAATAATCATATAAACTATCATTTTTTTACTCATATGTGGTCATAAATCTGTCTGAAGGTGACAGCAGCATGAAATTTTGCACAAATGCTCTTAAAGGGTACCTAACAATTTCAGGTGTAGAGCCACATGAAATTATAATTACTTTAGCAAAGCTTGCAAAAACCCATTTATATTATAATGATTAACTGTTTACGGTCACTTTTTGTAGTAGAAGAAGGTTCTATAACCATGAACACATTTTTAAAAGTGGAACTTGTACATTTTTGTTGTTGTTTGAAAAACTTTCTACTCACTTTCTTTCTCACATTCTGTTCATCTTCTTGGGGCTAAGCCCCCCTTGTCCTAAAAATCTAGTGACACCCCTGAGAATCATACATTGGTTTGGTATTTTTCCACAAGTTTTGAGTCCAATTCTGCTAGCTGTTGACAAACAGACCTTGTACTTTTAACTGATTTAACACTTCATATTGTTTTGCTGTTTGAAAAATATATTGTGAAATTTTAGTCATTTTTCCTACTGTTCATTTGAATCCTTATACGGGGAAGGGAAATCTATTGGTACATCAGGCCACCAAGAAGTTTATTCAACACCCACCATTGGGTTGCTGGGGGGTGACTGTTTGAAAGAACCAAGCAGAGAGACAATTAGGCAGATGAGAGAGTTTGAGGTAAGGAGGTGAGGAGTCGCCCTGACTATGGAAACCTGATGAGGGAGGACGTTAGGAGAAAGCCCCCACAGAGAGGAGGTGGTGGAGAGTTGCTCTGACTCAGCAAGAAGGGAGGAACTAAAGCACCGTTTACCGGAACGCTCAATAACCAGGGAAGAAGAGAAGAAGAGAAATGGAAGGCAGGTTTATCTTGTAGTAAGTTACAATGTTTCAGCAGCACATAGCCGGTATTATTTACCACTGATGGTGACAAACAACCTGGAGACTCCACTCTGCCTCCCGAGTCACACGAGTTGTATGAAAGTTATGAAACTATCCTTGAAAAACAAAGCAAATTCCAAAGAAGGACCCTAAATTTCAGACAGCTAACCATCCAGTAAAGGTCTCAAGGACAGGAAGCTCAGGCTGCATTAAGCCTTAAAGGGGCAGTATCGTCCGTTTTTCATTAAACTATGTTAACTAGAAATACTATATATCTAAATTAACACTTTAAAAACATTTTTATATTACGCCTTGAAATTGGGCCTCTGTCTCTTTCAAGAGGCTCCTGCCTTCAGGAAGTTATCCTCAGCTCCTCAGTTAACCCTTTAACAATGTTTTACATGCATTGCACTGAGAAGTAGCTTGTATAATGAGCTCAGCGGATGTGCAGTTCCACCAGGTGCTAATTTCTGCTGGCTAGTCTGAAGGAGCTGACTGGCGCAGTCGCAGTGTGGGTGTGTTGGACTGCTCTGTAAGGTGGAATCTTGGAAACTGCAGCTCAGAGGAGGAGCTGCACCTCGAAGGTGAATTTTGCACAGCTAAATAGTTGCCACGGGAGATTAAAGGATTTCTAAAACATGGATGAAAGAGTCAAAGCAACACTCCAGGTATGTTTTTGATGAGGGAATAACAGTGTATGACATGATGTAAAACCCAAAAACGTTGATTTTACATGATACTACCGCTTTAAGAAACAATAGCCTCTGAACATGACCCAGTCCACAATGGTTTTATACGAGTCCTGGCATGATATGTTCTGGTTGATCATTTGGATGGCAACATGGTTTTGCGGTTCCAGTTAATCGTGTGAATCAAAACTTACCGTCAAAGAGTTTTTCCTGCTTCATGAACAAAGACAGTTGCTTTGTAAGTTGCAGTTATCAATGAAGAGAGATTTGCTGCCGTCACATTGTGTTACAATGCATTTAAAACCTCTGCATACACAACTGACCTCTGGGAATGGCTAAGAGTGAAAGTGAAACTTCTTAATTTACTGTTTGAATTCAGCTAACATTTAATTAACCACTTGGAGGCAAACTGTTTTGTTTTTCTGTTTAGTTTTACCGTAGCAGCTTATCAAAACCAACACACAAAACCGAGGCATGGAATCCACAATGCAACAGTTGCTTTTGAACCCGCCAGCAAATACGACAACATAGGAAACCATGTGACAGCAGCTTTAGGATGCACAGTAACATGGAAATTTCCAGACATTTTTCATGACAAAATTTCACTTTGTCAGTCTGAAAATTCTAGTGTTTTTATACCTCTTACCCATAAACAGGATTAAGTACAAAATATCACCACACAATTCTATCTGATATTTTCATAATCAAATATGGAACCTGCACAAATCAGAAACTGATAAACAGATGAAAAATGGACAAATGTAAGATGAAAATCGGCAGAATAATAGATGAACAATAGTTGAACAAAGAGTAAATAGATGGATGCTGAATAGAAAGGTTGACAAAAGCATGAATTGGTGAACAGAGAGATGAATACATTTACTAATTACACTGAAAAATCTAGTTTCATTGCCTTGGCAGACCACACAATAACCCTGGTATCAGAAGAGCTGCTTACTTCAGGAAAACGCTGCTCAAACCGGTAGCATCTTATGCTGGCACACACTGTGTGTGTTGATCCAGTCAGTGCCACTAAGAGGTGTTTAATGGATGAAATCAGCAGTAAAAATGACTAACAAATCTCTGCTGGAGTGAGAGAGTCTCTTCTATCAGGAACACTGCTGGCCTCCGCAAAGCCGTCTGGTGACCTGTGGTTTAAGCAGCTCATTAAAGACAACTTTGTTGTTGGAGAACTAAGAGCAGAGCAGTAATTACTTTCCTTCTTTAAATGTTTCAGCTTCTGCTGCTACATAAAGTACTCTGCTGGAGGGGGGGGGGAATGACCTTTTCCACAGCAAAGAGCGTACTTCTCTATCGCTGCCTCATGTGGTTACCTGCTCCACAGAGTCCAGATGGCCGCCTTCCCGTGTGCATCCAGTCCCTCTTCATCCGCTGAACCAGTCGCAGTGCTGTCATGGAGACCTCGTGGCTCTTCTCGCCAAATTCCAGCATTTGGGTGAAACGGGGTATATAAAGGCATGGGTCTGGGTAGGAAAAAAGAAAAAAAACAAAAAACTTTTTTTTCAATTGGGACTTTGAAAGATTCTAATACCCTCATAAATATTTCTGCAGATTTTGCACACAAAAAAGACGTATAGTTTGCCACTCTTGACATATCAGGATTCAAATTAATTTTAGGGTTGTAACAATTCAGTGAATTATTGGAGATCCTCCAAAATTAAATTTCCTCTAGGCAAATTAGAGGAATTTGCCTAGAGGAAATTCCTCTAGGCAAATTTGTTTGTTCCTTCTGGAACAAACAAACAAAGTTTGTTTCTGGAACAAACTTCCAGAAAACTGAAAAGCAGCTGAAACACTGAGTTCCAAAAAAAATTAAAATAAATAAAAACTCAAAGGCTAAACATTCACCTGTTTAGAGTTGCCTTTGAACCATCATCACTGGAACATTGACTAAAATATTTGATGCGTACCGATTGTGATGATGGCACTTGACAAAATGTAATTGTAGGGAAGTGCTTGAATGTGTCGGCGCATGTCAG